CCCCCTCCCGGGCATGTACAGTTAAGTGCAGTACAACGCAACACAGGCAGAGTGGGAGTATGCCGGGGATGGCCGTGATTATATAAGTGTGAGTGCAACCACCCTGAAAAAAAAAAGAGAGAGAGAGAGAGACACACAGGCGGCCGCAGCATTCTCCTTCGAGAAGCGGAAAAATCTCCAGTCACGAATTGGGAATTCTTCCAGATGGTTGCCTTGATGGCAACGTGGGTGTAGATGAAAAAAAAAAAAAGTGCCATATAGTTGAAAAAAAGCATCTTCATCCAGAGTTCGACTTCTGATTGATTTCTTCGGTAAAGCTGTGACGGAAAAACATCAGTGTGGGTTATACCTGCGTGGACTTGGAGTCCCTCTCGATGATCCGCTCCTTGATGAGTTTAATGAGCGGGGTGATGTTGTAGAACTCGGCCTCCTCCAGGACTCCTTGGAACAAAAAGAACGTGACAGGTCAGCTCGTGTGCGCCGACGGCGGCCGGCCTCCAAGCGCTCAATTTCATTTTTCACAAATTTGACACCCGAAATGAATATTAATTAATAGCAGAAGTGGCATGGCACAAAGTCGATGTTATTCTTTTCAACCAAAGTGTCTCTAAAAGATGATCCTGTGGTGTGGAGTGGGTTAAGAGTGCTTTTTCGTCTCGACAAAAACGACCAGGTGGAGTCTATAAAGAGTCAAAAGTAGCGGCACCTTCTTCCGCTAGCTCCTTGTTGTAGACCAGTTTGCCGTGTCGCAGGTAGTTGAGGATGGGTCCGAAGTAGGTGGGGTCTCGGTCGATCACGTAGGCGCCCGTCTCATCCTGTTGTCGCATGAGAGAACCAGAAAATTTAGCACCGCCGTGAACATTTGGCTGGCACAAAAACCTTCTGCGGTCACTCACTCTTCAGATGTCATTTGTTTGACCAGGGTCGGAATTTTAAGGAAGGGGAAACGAGAAGGGCGACATGAAAGGCTTCGAACGCACCAAAACTTTTGACTATCTCGGTGACGGATGAGGACACAAATGACGATGTGTCGGGAGAATAAGGCCAGCTGCAGCATAATCACATTAGTATGTTTTGGGAGTGTCCGTCTGCAAGCGAAATCCACAATGTGAGTGGAAGGGCGGTGGTGGTGGTGTTTGAAGACTTAACGTGACTCGCCAGTGTGGGCAGGAGCTTCCTGGTTGTGTCAGTTTCATAAAAAAAAAAAAAAAAACACAAAAAAAAATGGTATAAGCTAGGGTGTCACTTTGTGTACGGAAACGTATTACGTAACTCAGTCATTCGAAGCCTTTTTAGCCATGTTTCAATACACACTGTAAGAGTGTGTCCGCAAGATGTTGTTTTTCACCTCGACTGTACTGGAGAGGATATTAGAGAGAACGTGTTTACCCCCCCCCCCCCCCCAGCCACCCCCCACGGAGAGGTTAAGTACACACATCCGTTGGGAACTAACGCAAAGTCTATCTGCGTTCTCTCAACGGAATTGGCTACTTGGGCGTCATCACAGCCCGCGGGTTTAGGAATCACTGCACGAATGCATCAAAATGGTTCATCAAGTAATCGTATTGTGTGTGTGTGTGTTTTTTTTTTTTTTTGAAGTAAACATGTCTCCCTGTGTGTTTATATCATCCCACGACACAGATGAGGTGATGAAGCGAGTTCAGACTCGCGGCGGAATCCACAATTGGCAGAGCGCGACGGGCGAAACACTTCCAAGTCAACCGAAAAGGGGCGGGAAAAGGCAGAAATGCGCACGGGCACGACTTTTTTTTTTTTCAAATTGACCTCCGTGAGCTGCTGAAATCTTTAAATCGGCGTCCAATACTAAACACACACACACACACAACCTATGTCAACGGGATGATGTGATTCTAATCTGCAATCCCCCAATCCTGTTACACCTTGATCATCGTCACATCATCCGAGCATCAAGATGGACATTACCTTCACCATGTAATTGGCTCGGGGCACCCTGACAACTGATACTAAAACGGATTAAAGCTCACGTAAAATGGGATTTTCAAAAAGAAAACACAACCCGCTCCAAAAAAAAAAAATGAATGAACCCTTTCACGCACCCTTGTAACCCGATAACATGGTAAACCATCCACTGTCGTCACCGCTGTCCCTCAAAAGGGTTGACAAGCTTCGAGTTTGAAATGAGGTTTGTTTTTGCTGGTCTGTTTGACGTAAAGGCGACAACTTGCAATTCAATTGTTTGAAAGCCGATGAAGAATGACTGTGTAAGCAAGTTGTCAAGCGAGCATAAACTTTGACTTGATGTGGAATTAAAAACCTCTCCAGTGGCGAAGTGGCCCAGTGGGCGGGATCATTTGAAACGTATCCCATTCGGGGCTATTTTTACTCGATATGGGAAAAGTGATGTCGGAACAGAGCGGGCTAGCGTGGGCAGTTAAATTTCGGAGGTTTGTGCGCGCTAATTGTGAATAGAAAGGATTTGGAAGATTCCCCCTGCGGAATAAAAAATGATTACTACCTCGCAATCTCACACTGTTATCACTCAAGCCACTGAGACCAGAATTTGCTTGCAACATACCGATTATGCAATCAAACTACATTTCCGTTCCGGGCAAGCTGGCAACTGAACCGCTGCTCTGCATTTATTTGACAACCTCGACCTCAGTCAAACGTCACCCTGCGCGGAAACCCAAGCGTGTCTCTTTTTTAAATGCAGCGCTTGTGCCACAGATGAGGAAACAACTGGAGTAATGACTGCCTGATATAGGATAAAACCACTCAGGCGTGACTCTCGAGCAGGGGGGGAAAGCCCGCCATCTGATACTAAAGACCTTCGATATCTAGAAACCATGTCCGACCTCGCCGATGACTTGTCTCGTGTTAGAGCAAGTGTGATGGAGGCGACGAGCACGCGCTCGATCTCCTTCAGAGTTCAAGGCCTGCTGCCGTCGGGAGAAAGAATGAGAGGCGGCTGAGGAAAAGGGGAGAGGAAAAAAAAATGCTGAAAAAGCCGCGTGGCTTCGATTAGAGTTAATTGACAATTCAATTTCCACAAATAGGACTTGGCTTCAGACAGAAAGCTCAAATATGTGCCAGCCGTGTTGCTCCCATTAAAAAAAAACAAACCAAAAACGCCGTACGTCATAGATGGCTCCCTTTTCACCTCTCATCGGGAAATAAATTTGTGTATCATGGTAAAGAACTTTATAGGCATCTATAAAGTTGACATTTACAGCAGAGTTTAAAAAAAAAAAATGAAATGCAACAGCCAAAAAGCTGCAAAGCATCTCGACAGTGCCACAAAAAGAATAAGGAATTGATTTATTTTATGCAGGACACAAATAGCTGAGTAGTGTCCAGAAAAAAAAAAAAAGTACAAGTGACAAGAGATTTACTTTGCAGTGGAAAAAAAGGGTTAATCGTGCTTGAATAATGAATTGCAGGTTCCAATTTACTGCGGGTCGGTCCGCCATGAATTCCTTAGCAATACTGCAAATTGCGTATCCTATGCGATCCGTTGTTTTAAGAAAAACAATGTGAATGTAAGCCGGACAACGTGGACTTACGTAGAAATGAATGCAACGCTCCAAATAAACGCCACATTCATTATTATCAAGTGTCTTTGTGACCTTGAATATGAAGATTCTGACCACCAATAATATGACACTGCAAAAAGTACATTTTGTCATGTACTCCAAATGCCAGATGCAACCCCCCCCCCATCCAGCCCCTATTGATGTTCAGTGGCATTTTGAAGAAGAGGCAATGAGCAACGCCATTCGACCCCAAGCATCCTCTCCTCCTGTCGCACACGCTTATCAACATCTCAATGGCAGACGCAGAATAACAAAAGCAGCATCATTTCAAATGCATCCCATTTGTAATCTTCGGGAATGCCGCACTTGAAGAGGATGTCGCTCTCTCTGCTGTCGAGCCACTGGGACTCTGCAGCCCCCCCCCCACCCCCACCCGCGCCCCCTCCCCTGCAGAAGAGAAGGCACGTGTTCCTCCATCTGACTCCGGCTCCACTCACACCATGGAAGGATGCTGAGAAACACACATGCACTTTGCGCTATGCATGAAGCATAGCAAATAGGAGTGGATGTGATAAGATGGAGACAAAACGCTTTTTTTTTTTACATTTGCCTCCTTGTTTTTAAGATCACTTATGACTTAATTCTACATTGGCGAGCCATCGATGCATTTATTTGGTATCGTACTAGTGCGGTGAAAAGTCCATGCACTCGTACTTTCTTTTGTCCTCATTTGTAAGACAATTCAGGGCAGTAGTTGAACGACGATGGTTCGCTAAACTCAATATACGGTATATGTCATATAGTGATGGACCATATTCAGGATTTGCGTGTTTGTAATAAGATGAAGACGACTAGTACACTGAATTGTTATACTGGTGTGGGAAAAAAATGTACTAGCACATGAACAATTCAGTCCACTCGTTGGATATTGAATAAATAAATATAATACGTGGGTGGGCCGACCTGGTAGGGTGCAGTGCAATGCTAGGGGTGGTGCACGTGAACTGCAGGACATGCTTGGATTTTATATTTTATTTTAATATGTAATTACACATCCACTACAGTAGGAGGCAGTTCGTTGGTCTATTTTTTTCCCCTTTGTTCGTTTTCTTGCATATTTACAAAGCAGAGATGTACTTATAAACAGCTTATAGACAAATGAGAATGTTTATAGTCATGGGAAGAGGAGGGGAGAGCCAAGTATGTTCTTCAAAGAATTGAGAAGCACTGTTTTACACACAAAAGACAATGAGAGCAAGTTTAATAGGTCAGATTAGGACTTTCAGAGGGCTATTTACGAAATAGAATTTGACTACAGCGGTTATAACAGCAGTTATTATGGTAATTAGCCACATTGTAGGGACAATATTACATTATGCAGGTGCGCCATGGGATTTTTTTGGGGGGGTGGGCGGTATAAAAAGTGCAGAATGGATCTTGGGTTGGTTTTAACGACCTGTATACGGTTAAGTGTAGACCGGGGTGTCCTGGTCGGGCTCACCGTGTCCGAGTGCAGGTCTTGCTGCTGGCACAGTCGGTACAGGAACGAAGTTTGCTCTTTTAGGAGCGTCTGCCTCGTCGTCAGGAATACGGTTCCGCCGACGTTCAGCCGAACCCATTTCCCATTATTTCCACCGCCGGGGTTGATGACCGAACCGTTACCGAGGTTATGCGACGTCTTCCCCCCGGGTTCGGTCGAGCTGGCCGGCGCGGAGGTCGCGGTCTCCCCCGCCTCGTTGTCTTTGTTATTGTTGTTATTATTGTTGTTGTTGTTGTGGTGGTGGTGGCAGCCGTGGAGCGCAGGTTCCCACTCGTCGTCCGCCGTGGTTGCCATTTGGAAAAGGGCGCTTCTACTCGCCGAGTGGAGCCCAGCGAGTTGGTGCCTCCGCGTTTTCTATCGCTTACCAACCCGCAGCGGTTCTAGGCGTGGCCTGGAAAGAGCCCGGTGCATTTTGGTCTTGGTATTTTTTTTTTCTTTTCCTCTGCAGTTTGCAGGCTGTGCATTTGCTACCTTGCGCCTTCCGTTGAGAATCGGAATCTAATTCGAGTCGCAATTAGAGAAGCCATCAATGCTGTTGAATCTCACGTACGTCATCTGCAATTCCGAATCCGCACGAAAACGTCAATGAAATGCACCACACTCAGCAGAGATGCCGAATATTCTATCGATTCATGTTTGCAGATTGCACCAGACGAGTTCTGCTGGTCGAACTTGGCTTTAACATTATTATTTTTTTGACTAACCATCAGAGGAAGGACAAATCCTTAATCATTGAGAGCCAATTTGTGGATTATCTAAAAACAAATCTAAAAGATGATCGGTTAATTAAACTGATTTCGTTTTTCATCAGCCAGCACAACTAATTTTGAAGGTCCTGGGCAGATTACATTGACATGGCAGCACATGTCCGAAATATAATTGGATAAGAAAATCCAACATTAACATGTACACGTGCTGGAAGCACAATAGACTTTTGCCAGTAAATAAATCCAATTAAATTTGAAATTTAGGTCAGAAATAGTTCTGATATCGTTTATGACAACAGAGACCCCCCCCCCCCTGTGCCAGACCTGCTCGATTTCATATAAACAGTGTGAGTACTTGGCTCCTCTTCAACGTACAGACTCAAAGCTCCTTGACTATGTTGCTCAACTGGGTATTCACTGTTGAGCGTCTTGCTCAACTTCAGGAGGAAGTGAAAATGAAACATGCAGGCGAAACAAAGGTGCTCCGCAAACAAAGTCAAAAACAAATTCACTTCAACGGTGCACATTAGTGTATTACGTCTTTCGATTATAAACACTGTGTACAAGAAGTACAACAGTCAACATGTCTTATGAGATTCCTTGAGACTCTTGAAACAGAAGTACATTGTTTGCCTGGATGGTCACAGACACAATAAAAACCCTCAATCAAGATTACCAGAGAGTCAAGGTGGAGACTGAATGCAGGAATTATTCAACCACAATTGTTTGGCAAACCATAAAAGGAAAACCTTGGCCCATTGGTGTCGGGAGTAAAAGCCACATAGTGTGTCCTGTCCCATCAAAGCGCTCCGTGTCAAACAAGCCCTGCGGTGATTTCACTGAGAGTTAAACATTAACATTTACGGGTGATGCTGGAGGAAAAGGTCAGTATCCCCCCCTCCTCTGGGGAAAAACACTTTGCATTGTATCCAAAGACCCGCTCGACCCAATCTGCAAACAACCTGTGTCATTTCTCTTTGTGTCGAATGCCAATGAGCTAATTCTTGCACACACAAAAAAAAAAAAAACGGACAAAACATGACATTGTTCCAATGTAGTTAGAACTAAACACGAAAGAGGCGATGGCAGGCACATTTAGGGTCGCTGGAGAGCGTGTTTCATAATGACAAAGGAAAAGTTGTACTTGAGAGGAAGACCCTCGTGCGTGGTGATGTTAAAGGAGCGCCATGAGAATGGTCGCAGACCCCCCTGCGTTGTGGGGCCGTTTATTGCTTCCGCGACCAGCCGGAGAGCCATCTGGTAGTCGGTCACCTGTGTCATGAGACAGGAGCGGTAAATTGGATGCAACAGACAAGATGATGAACATCATGTTTTAACTCTGCTCCCCAAATCTCCCATCAGGTCATTTTGACCGAAGCGGCACAATCGACGGTCACAAAAATACATTGATTTACCTTCGTGTCATAACACCCGGCGGGGCGTGGTCTCCTTAGGCGCAGGTCGTTACGGCAACAAATGGTTTTGCATGGATGGCCCTTGGCATAAGGATCTCTTTTGTAGTCTGAAACACATCCGATGTAAGATACGCGTCTTGCAGCCACACAATTGGTTCCAGTTTCAAATTATTATTATTTTTTTTTTTCAGCACCAGCTGGTGTGGAGGGCGTGCCTCTTCAGCCGTGCAACTGTGTGGTTTCAAATCAAGTATTTAAGGACTGCCAAGTATGTCAAATTATTAACCTTGCTCGCCGTTTATGCTCAAGTGTTACGTTCGAGACCTCTCGTTCATAGTCGTTTTGCTCTTTTAGTTCCTCGTTTTGCAAGTATTGGAATTTTGTCATTTTAATTTTTTTTTTTTGTCATGTAAATTGCCTTCGTGTCACTTCATTTGTGTCTCAGTGTTACTATTAATTTGTCTTTTGCAAGCGTTTTTTGTTTATGCCTTGTTTTTCCTTCTGTGTTTTTGATGAACATTTCCATTGCTCACTTTTTGTCTGTGTCTGCATTTTGGTTGATCCAAAACATTATTTCGTTCGTTCTCAAGCCTGTCATCGGCATTGTCCATAGATGTTTGTGTAAATGGTTGTTTTGCTATATGATATGTGCCATATTTCAAGAAAATGAGAGGAGTCTACTTTGTTCACGCCCACAACGGCGCCTCTGCACCAGTGACAAAAATAGAGCCTATTGTGTCTTGACAAAGGTTCATTTTTGAACAACATGAAAGATTATATCATTGCACTTACTGTTGTATCGCATGATGTGCTTGAGGGACTTGAGGTCAAACACCTTGGCCTGATCCCTGCGGAGGATTTTGGCTCTGGGACAAAGATCGTAAGAAAAGTCTTCGCCGTATCTCCTCCACATCACATCGTACCCACTCAGGTTGTAGATGTCAACATGAAATGGAATGTTGTAGGACGGCCAGTATCCTGAAAGAGAAAAGAAAATCGTATCCAGATAAAACAACAACAGAGAGGTTGGTAGGAAGCTCAATTTACTCTCTTACATTTTTGGCTGACTATTACTGTCATAAATGTGTGGATGTTTGTGTGTCACCTCCTCGTAAAGCTTGAGTCTGGTCCGTGTGGAGAACTTTCCCAGGGATCTGCTCCACAACAGTCAAACCTCCCGTCCTGATACTATGTCCAGGTGATACCTTACTCAGGTCCACCACCATGTACTGGCTGTTATACGTACCTGTGTTACGTAAGAAATGTGGCTTTATTCCCAGAAGGAACATTCCGTGAAGCAAAATGAAGCTTGGTCACAACCATCGCTTTCGTTCTAACCCGAGTTGTATTTCGAGAAGATCTGCGCCCACTCCTCGCCACAGTGCGCCAGGCTGTTGGCCAGGCGTACTCTCTGCCAAGCCAACAGGCTGTGAGGGCTGAGCTGAGAAAACAAGGAGGTGTTGAAGACACTGATCGAGGTTTGAGTCAGCAGCAGGCCGCTACCGAGCAGGTAGAAGTCATCCAGAGATGTAAGGAGGCCTGTGGAATGAGGAGGAAGATAATAAGTAGCTTGCAGGCAATATGCAGTACTGAGATTTTGTTATTTGCAGGAAGTGGGCATCCCTGTTGTTGTATGCTAATGACAATTGTTATTTCACGATCCTATATTACATTACGAAAGGGAGGTCGAACGCACGGGGAATCTGCTGGTCCTGCCCTGCCATTCGTTTTAAACAGTTGATGCTGTCATAGAGCAAGAAAGGATTCTCTTCATTGTAACAAAGTGAAGTCACATCCTTCCCACTCTAAAAATAGCACAAGTTGTATTCGAATAGCAACAGAGCCTGTAAGAGGATTTTTCCTGACCTGGGCTCTGACAAATCTTTTCTGATGAAATGACTTAGCCTGCTCTGACCTGACTTTGAGGCAAAACGCTAGACATTGTGGCTGAGATTTGGATGCGGATGTGCACACGTTGCATGCCAGAGCAGAGGAATTACTTTAAGAGGGCAAGGTTCACAGTGCATTTGGTTCTGGATATCTTCTCCCAGAAAGACGTTGACCTGGAATAGTCAGTGTTTATTAGGTGACTGTTAATATTGAAGGTGAAATGTGTATGTGTGTACCAGGGTAACTGCTGAATGACATTTTTCCAGTGGCCCCATGAGACACCCTGAGGTCCCAGTGTTTATAGATGCGCATGGTGGCCGCATAATTGTACCAGCTGGAGTGGCCCAACAGCAGATTCTCAAAGCCAGATGTCACCTGGGACGCAGAGAAGAAACGGTTGGAATGAAGCTACCTCATAATCTAGTCCCATTTCATTTTCTGGCGAAAACAATGATTTGTAGTTTGCATCTGGTCATGCTATTTTCTCATTGGGTAAGATTATCCTGCATTGGCTCACAGGTATCCTCACTCTCATTTGGACTGCAAGCTTGTGCCAAGCGAACCCGGCCTGACCTTTATGAGAGCCGTGCAGTGGCCCATTCCGGGCATTCTGAAAGCAGTGGGCCCGGCAGAGTCGGGGCGAGGTGTCAATGCAGGGACAAGGTCCAGGAGGTCACCGACACCATTCAGAAACTGAACAGCAAATGCAGACAATGGCTGGGAAGGGAGAAGCGTGAGATCAGTATGATGACAGGGTGATAATTATCCCCAAAAAAACACATTACACACATCGATGTGTTTGCTTCTGGCCCACTGTGCAGCTCCAGCATTTAGGCCGTCCAGTTGGGCTAGGATCAGTCCCAAATGTTTCCACAAGAAGTCACTGTTCTGTCTCAGCTTCACTTGCTCTCTGGCCCACTGGTCCTGTTTGCTGTGGATCAGACAACATCGTAGCCATGATTTACAAGGTGTGATGTAGTTTTGTTCAAATACTGAGAAAAAAAAAACAGTCAAGGCATTCACTTCTATTAATGTGATACGTAAATGTGAACTTTACCTTAGGAATATTTTCAAGGGATTCAGAACCTTCTCATCCTTTATTAGCTGTTGATACATGTTGGAGTAATGATTAAACATCTGCCTGCAATGAAATAAAAGTTTAGACAAAAAACAGTACAATATAAATTTGCATTATTTGTATTATTACTCTGTGCTAGCATGATTATTCTGTTACTGTATTTCGCATGTGAAACAGCATATTTAGATTTACAATTAAGAACGTTATGTGAATTTTACACCTGTTCTGAATAAAAGGAATTTACTGTGTGGTGTTTAATACTTCAGCGCTTTTAAAAAGCGTGGATTTTTTTTTTGTTTGTTTTTTGTTGTGGTTACACCATAAAAACGAATCCCATCCTCTGACCCGGCGGTGAAGTAGCCTTCTAGGTAGCCAGCCAGAAAGAATGTAGTCTCATCTCGCTGTTGGACACTTCCGTAACCAGCGCAAATCTCCAAAATGCTCCAACCAGTGAGGTGAAGGCTATCATTGAAGTAACCATACGCACCACCCTCTGTCTCCTTCACCCCCTCCTTCAGGATTACCCTTTTCTGGGCAGCATCCCAGTACACGGTGGCCTCCTGGAGGTCTGTCATTGTAAGAGGATGGTTCAGGGTCACAGGGTTGAGGTTGAATAACACACATTATGGAACACATGTTATATAGCACTGTTACCGGCATTCAATTATTTAAATAACATGTTTCTGTGTTCTTCTTGCTTGACTTGTTTTGCTCCTGGAGGTCAATAAACATGTCTCAATGAGTATTGGGCCAAGTATGTAGGATATATAAAATATGCAAGCTCTGACATGTAAATTATTAGATTTAACAGAAAATCCTTGTGTAGTTTTAAGAAGTATAATTGAGAGAAGAATTTAGATTTTACTTAATCTAACTACAAATATCAATAAAGTACTCACGCCAAGTGTGCACTGATGCAGCCAAAGCATTCAAAAGGATGCACAGTTTAATACCCTGCTGCTCCATTTTTTGTTGATAGTTTCCTGCAATTGTCGCGTATTTCCGAAAGCAGATATTCCTAGTGCAGGTGTCGTGAAGTGTAAGAATGATTTCACGAGCGTTGGGGGAAAAAATAAGCACCACCCCAGATGGGACTCGAACCCACAATCCCTGGCTTAGGAGGCCAGTGCCTTATCCATTAGGCCACTGGGGCTTGTCTATCTCGGGTTACAATGTTAATAATATCAATGTCATCACTGACATTGCTGAAAAATACATAAAACTACTGACAAAAGCGAACATTTTTTTGGTTAAACAATTTCATGCAGTGGGAGGCAATGCCATCACCATGGTGATTCAATGTCGAACGTTCCATTTTCTCGTCTTTACAGGGTTCTGTCTCTTTTGGAGAAGCTAAAACGTCACAGAATAACATACAAAGACTGATGAATGCATATTAAATTCCAGACAGTTCTAATTAACGAGTAAGGGTACTGTTAGGCTTCAATTTGTGGGGATAGTTTTACCTGTTTTAAAATAGGCCAGTGCAGAGACTTTCACACTGCTTCTTTTTGAATGGAACGTTCGCACTTGCGCAGTACTACGCTTACGCTGTTTACACTGAAGTCGACGTCGTTAGAGATTTCATTCAAGTTGTCAGTATGGAGGTAAATATACATAATATAAACTCTTTGAGTCACCTACAGCTACTGAAACGACACTAAGTGGATGGTATATCAATTAAAGGTCAGGTATGAGAACTATCCGGGTAAGATCGTAACGGTTAGCTACCTAGCATTAATAGCCGCATAGCACCCCGCTAGTAAACCAAAATCACGCCATAGCGTTAATTCTCTCTGTTAACACTAACAGTCATGTTGACATATGTGTTCCATCTTATTTAGGATCTCAAAATGTCCCTGAAGCTCCCTCGATTTGGGAAGTCGTTCAGTCCAAAGAAGATTCCTCCGCGGAAATCACCATCGTTATCGAGCCTTCACACAGTAAGATTTTTTTGCTCCAAAAATAAATATTCCCAAGAAGTGCATCGATGTGTGGAGAGTGCACGGATATGAAAGACCAATCTCCAATATTTTAGTTGGACCGGTCTACACGGGAAATAGAGCTGGGCCTCGAGTATGGACCTCCTTCAATGTGCATTGGAGGGCATACCTTGAAATTTGAAGATGGACATTGGCTAACAGGTGATTACAAAAACAGTATTGTTGCATCATAGGCCAGTGCAGAGAATATCACACTGATCGTTCTCCTGTATGGGACATCCGTGAACTAGAAGAAGCCATTATCTTTTTACATGCATTTTAATGAACAGCGTGGCATCACTATATATATTTTCTTCTTTCTGTCTGGTCAGAATCAGGTGGAAATGTATCTGTCCGAGAAGTAGAACGTCTTAAGAAGAAAAACTTGCAGCTGGAGGAAGAGAACAATATCCTAAAATTGAAGATAGAAATTCTTATTGACATGGTGAGAACAGAGGTCTGGGTGACAATATGTTGTAGTCTATCTTCATATATTTTATTCTTCATTTCTTCTAATCATCAGTATTCTTTTCTGTGTAGCTCACAGAATCGACAGTTGAATACCACCTGATGGAGAAAGAGGTGGAGGAGATAAAGTCTCAACATTGAAGAAATGACAAACAACATGATGCAATGCCTTCCTCATAGGAAGTTTTGAAGTGGAATGATGTGTTTTGTTCAGTACCTACAGATGAAGACCCCAACGTTTTACCAGTCAATGACTGCATTGCATAGTACGGACTTGAGCAATACCATGTTTGATGAACTAGGTTGATCTGATATGTTTTTTTAATTGACTTTTTTTATTATTACCTACTGTATATTCAATATTCATCTGTTTGAAAAATGATTTTTTCTATTTATCTTCACATTAAAGTGAAATACGTAACAATGAAAATCACTGGATTTATTTGATTGCATGAGGTTTTTGGTCCAAGACAAACCGATAACCGATTTATTTAATACATTCAGATTTCATTCAACATTTTGAAGACCAGCAAGTTGATAAATTGCTTAGTAGCACTTTGTTTGCATTTCTCTTCCCAAATTAATTTTGCACATCAATACACAAGACTGTATGCATTGTACAAGTGACACTGAGATTTACCAATATTAAGACAAATTTAGTGGCGTATTTGCCAATAAATTAACTGCCTGACGTAAAATTGGTAGGGGGGGAAAAAGGGATAAAAGTAAGCTTTTGTCACGGGACATTATGGAGGACTAAACGTGCCGAAATTATTGATTTAACCGGTGTGAATTATTAAATTAGGTCGAGAATGATTTAAATGGATGAGTGTTTATGAAATTACTCCAATATTGATTTATATTTCCATCAACATTTAATTAATTAGTGAAATATATATTTACTTCTTTCAATATTATATTTTTAAAATATTTATTAATCTAATTCTCTCGTTCCTAACCCCTCCCAACTGAATAAATCAATGAAGCTGATTGGCGGGTGTGACTGTCGCGTCAACTGTTTTTTTCTTTTTAGGACTGCGCAGGCGCAGACTGTAGAGAGCACTTTCGCTGACAATCAAGTTCGAACTGGGCAGCCTTTTTTTCTTTCTAAGTGCATCTAAACGTCGTGTCGTAGAGTTTTTTTCTGCGTTACCCAGCGGGATCAAGTTGTATTGTTGTTGACGTTACTCTTCACCATGCCGAGGGGCGGTAAGTGTCACTGCTGAAGCGTCGTAAACAGCATTTGGAGCAAGCTAAGCGCAGTGTCCGGAGGTAGCTTTTACGCATGCTTAGCTTGTAGCATGCTAACCGACTGTTTTACTGAGGCTCTGTTGGCATTCTAAGACCCAGGAAACATCACCAATATGTATACGAATTGACAAAACTGTAACTCGTATGAGTAGAGTTGTTTACCTATTGTTAGGTTTACGTAAAAAAAAGCTTTTTCATCACTAAATATCCTTGACTTGTGCCGTGAACGTTTACCGCCATTAGGGTTGCCATGTGTGTGTGTGTCATTGATTTAGCTCCTTTTGACAGCTTCGCTTGTTTTTAAAATAAAATGATTGTTTCAGTTTCGTTTTTTTAATTAATTCTATTAGTAGTTTTAGTTTTTGTATATTTACAAAGCATTTGCTCAGTGCAAGATTTTTTTAAAAAAATCACAATAAGTGTTGTGTAATAAAGTAATCTACAATAATCAAATGACAACAATTTTATTTCATCATTTTTTTTTAATTGTAGTTATTTTGTTTTGTTAATTTACCAAAATAACCTTGATGTACACCCAACGAGTTGGTTTCATGTGTGTTGTAACTCTTGTTCTATGATGTATTCAGTTGTGTCTTATTCTCACATGCTTGGATTTGGAATTGTGATTGACATGCATATATTAATTGGCACAGGGAAAAAGGGCCATAAGGGCAGAGGGAAGCAATTTAGCAATCCCGAGGAGATTGACCGACAAATGAAAGCCCAGAGAGAGCTGGTAAGTTTCGAAAATATTATTTTATGGCATTTTTTTTTATCAGCATTTGTCTCAGTCTAATGTGCTACTGTTTCTCCTCGCTTCCAACAGGAAGCAAATGCTGGTGTGGAGAAAGAGAGCGGTTCAGAGTCTGAAGAGGAGAGTAGCAGCGAGGACGAGTCTGAGGTCAACATCACTGCTGTTATTCTAATTGACTGCTAACTTTCATCATTGTATTGCTAACATGTTCATGTTTGCATGCAGTGTAAGAAAAGGAGCGGTGTGGAGGGACTTATAGAAATTGAGAATCCCAACCGCATTTCTCAGAAAAGCAAGAAAGTGACCGAAGTAGATGTCGAAGCTCCTCGAGAGCTGTCTCGTCGGGAGAGGTGAGTCTGACTTGCAAGAAATATCTTTTTAGTCGATGGTAAAATCTTTACAAAATTAAAACATAAGTTACCACAAAGACCGTACAGTCTCGCTAATGCTATTCAAGTGTAACTTAAGCTGTGCTAATTAATTTTTCATCACAAAGCACTACATTTCTTTTGGTCATTGTGTTGAAGGCTTTGGTCAGTCCAGTAAAAGCCCCTTCCTTCAGTTTAATAGTGTTCCGAGCCACCAAGATGCCACAAGTTGTTGCCAAAGCACCCTTTTCTAAAAGAGCTTCAGCGCCATCTTGTGGCACATAAAGCTGCATTTAAAAAAAAGCAACAAAACAAAACATGAACAGGCGAGGTTTTAAGCAATGGATATGTTAAAAGAAGCAAAGAAAAAAATAACAGTAAATAGGTGAATTAGAGGGAACACCGAATTGGGGGGGGAGTTCCTGTTTGGGGGGCGGACGAAGTGATGTTAGAACCACAGTAGCGCTTCTGCCTGCTCAAACATCACATTAAAGTCAGCCCGGTTTGTTCCTGTCACTTTGAAATGAGTTGTTGAAATTGTGGCGTCCGCCACAGGGAGGAGATCGAAAAGCAGAAGTCCAAGGAACGCTACATGAAGCTTCATCTTGAGGGGAAGACGGAGCAGGCGAGGGCTGACCTGGCCAGACTCGCCATTATCAAGAAACAGAGGGAGGAAGCTGCCAAGAAGAGAGACGAACTCAGGAAAGGTGAGGAAATTTGACCCGGCCTGTGTGCAGGACTACTGTAAAGCCATTAAGCCAACATCTAAAATGCTGATTTCATAGCCTTAATAGTGGTTGATAGTGATCCTCCTGTTTAAAATGTCAAATCTCTCGTTTGCGTGTTAAAGATGCCGAGGAGGCTAAAGCGAAGCGTTAGTCACCTCTCCAACAACTTCAACATGCACATCAGACTCAGAGGGACGGACAAAGGCGAGGGAACACATTTGAGTAGCGTCAGAACATGACATGGCTGCCCCCCCACCCCGAGCTCCATCCAAGTTCTTCACGTAACATCGAAGGGACGACGTGCTCCACCCAGTACAAGAAAACGGGTGAAATCATCGAGAGGTTAAGAGACATGCAACATTTGGGACCCTTTTGCAGGTTTTTCCAAGTGCTTACACTCTCTCTTTACTCTTCTTCCGCCATCTTAATTCTTAACGCTGCTAATCATTTGTATTCCTTTTGCAATTTATTGTTTTTACAAGATGATGTTGGCACTCAAAAACAGCAGAGAGCCGAGACGAGGAGCTCTTAGGTGCTTGAACTTTTCATTCCGCCCGACTCGTTTTTTTTTTTTTTTTTTTTGCCAGAATGCCGCAATCGTCGGTCGGAAAGACGGACTCAAATTCAGAATAATGTTTTCATTTCCTCAACACAGCAGGTTTTTGAAATGGACATTTCTTGTAATGCCTCAAAACAGAAAGACTATTACTTGAACTACCTTTTGATAAGCATTTTTTAGTTTAGTTAGTTTTTTTTTTTTTTTTTTTTAAATAGATAAACACCGTACCGCGTCTTTGGTAGCCTTTCATCAAAGTGGCCTTGATGTGGTTCTGCTGGAATCCTCCGATTATTTCTTTTTTTTTTTTCTTTTTTTTATGCATTTTTTTTTCTCCGTTGTTCACAAAAGGCCACCTCACTGTCGTTTTGCCATTCAGTATTTTATTTTTTTCAGAATGGCATTCCGTTTCAAAATTCCCGACTCAACCAGAAGACTTCCCTCGTTTGTTTCCCCTCATTTGACAAGCAAAATATCCACTGCGAACGATGTTTAAAGAACACTAATCGTTTGGCAATTTGTAAAATCCAGCCGGTTTCGGTATGTTTCAGGCAACCTTAATAATTTAAGAACAATCACAGACTCCTATATAAAAGAACCAAGCCACCAACTGTTTTTAGGGAAAAAAAAACAAAACAAAATGCAACATAGAACCAAGTTCCTCACGTGTTTGAAGTCGTTTAATAAAGAAATTGATTCACAAATTGACATTTGTTTTGCATCGATGCCCCATGTGTTGACTTAGTCCCCTGCCCTACACTTTTTGTTTTATACATTGAATTTTATATGCGTTTGTCTTTAGTGTCTGTCTACATATAAATGTATATTATATTTACAGTATTGAATAGTGAGAGTTGCAGACGCTGTCACCGATGTGCATCAGTATCCAGCAATAATAATATATTGTATTTATAGTGCCTTTCCTGTTACCGAAGTACTACAAAGAAGCCAAAACAAGCGCAATGCTCAGAAAATCACTATGAATCATGATGCGAATATTATAAAAAATATGTTATTGGTGAAATTAACTTTACATTTGGGAAGCTTATGCATATACGCCATTTGCGGGGTGGCGTGTTTATTACTATCATCGCTCTCGATGTTCTTAAAGTAAGATCTGAGATCTGTTTTCAAATGTGGGTAGTCACAGTTAAAAGTCATCAGAATAATAAATACGCAAGTCGTGCGGATACCTGGAAAAAAAAATACTGAAGTAGCCTACAGTAAAAACATGTTTGTACTTCATTACTTCCCCCCCACTGAACAAGATGGATAATCTAGTACAGTGTCGTTGCAAAGTATCAGTTGGCGAGCGTAACTGTTTGCTAGTCAAATGAAAGAGAAGGGGCCGGGGGGAGGGGGGGGTCTTCCCGCTCACATTTCATCCACGCAACTTCCTCGTTAACCGCATAAGCGCTTGAGAGAGCGCGTCTGAAAGGAGAACTAAAAGAGACAACGCAAAAGCGCGCCGTCAAGTAGGCTTGCAGCTGCCCAAGTAAACCCCGGTGGAGGTCAGGCACTGCGGAGACGACCAACAGCGCTGCAATGCTCCGACAGTCTCTGAGCATTCTGAAGCAGTTTGGCTCTTCTGCAAAGTAAGTTGAAGTCACTTCAATGTAATGTCGATATGAATTCCAAAGTATTTATGTACTGATGTGGTGATGACTGGTGCTTGATGTGGTGTGAAGAACTCATTGAAAATATCGGCCTGTTTTTGTTTCATTCAATCAAGATGCAAGCAAAACAAGGTACACTTGCACATTAAAAAGACAA